AATCATTACACCAACCGCACATAGAGATAAACAAGCTGATCTGGATATACAGGGTGTATCAAAAATAATTTGACAAACGCTGGGGCCGGTTCTTCAACCAAAACAAGGACAAAAGTCCATACAGACATATGCCCGCAAATACTTCGTTTTTGAATTAAGTTTAAAGAAAGTTTACGGTAGATGGTGCTGTGTTGAAATGTAAACTACATTTGTGGCTAGTCAGTCTTCAATCTTTAATCTGTGTAGTAGAGAGTTAATTTAGAAGTGCTCCGTTTAACAATGGTAGGATATTCATACCGTGAACAGGCAGACCGTATTTTTACATACGGTCGCGCGAATTGTAATGGATGTGAAGCTGCACGGCTGTATCAGATTGTGTTTCCAAGCTGAAGGCAGTTGAGTCATCCAACCTTAGCTGTTGTTTATCGTCGCGTTGCTGAGACTGGCACCACAAACTGTGGATCGAGGAAGACCGAGATCCGCTCATACGCCTCACCACGAAGAACATATTCTACAGGCTGTCGGAGACGATCCAGTTATCAGCACACGTCAAGTGGTCTTAGCGTAAATTTCAACAGTTTCTTTCTGATCCTATTTAAAAGCGTCCTGTTTTTCTGCTGCGTTTCTCAAATGTTCCGTCCATGGTATTTTTAGTGGTTCTACAAAAACATGGTTCTATAGAATCAAGTTTCTGTTACATCAAGTCTCTTCTATGCATGTGAAGACATTGTCCTGCTTTCACTGCCATCTAGAATGACCAATATTTCATAACACTTAGGCAAGATTTTCTTTGTTTCAAACAAATCATTTTCGTGTTTCTTAATACTTTTCTACAAAAAAATCAACAGTATTTACATTAGTCGGACTATTGTCCTCATCTTTGTCGCCATATTTGTCACAACGTTTCGGCCGTTGTACGCTCCGGCCTTCTTCAGGTGGTTGGAATTTCGAACTGAACCCTTTAGTTCGATCCTGGGGTTAAGGCTGTTCTACTTCCACGTGCCATGTTTGATAATGTCAGTTATCTGATTATCTCCTGCATCCATTTTCCATGGCACGTCTGAAACAGTAAGTGTGAAATCAATTCAGTGGTTAAGGCAGTGGAGAACTTTCAACGGCTGAAACGTTGTGACAAATATGGCGACAAAGATGAGGACAATAGTCCGACTAATGTAAATACTGAAATTTTAATACCTCATCTCAGAAATATAGACAGATACTGAAGGGCCGAAACGTTGTGACAAATATGGCGACAAAGATGAGGACAATAGTCCGACTAATGTAAATACTGTACATAATACCTCATCTCAGAAATATAGACAGACTCTGAAAAAAATCAACATATTTGGGGTAACACAGGAGTGAATGACGATGAAACACCAATTTATGTGGTTCAGTTTTGGAAGTAAAGGTACTTCATTTTTATGATGTGTATTGGAAATTTCTAGCAACAGATTTTCAATAATTAAGAATCAATAGAATTGTCCTTTAGATATTAAGGATATATACATGGTGTTTATTGTTACGCATATCTGTAAAGGGATTTATAAGAAGAGCCTTGAAAGATACAGTACGCATTGGCATGCCACCTAGCAATAAAATCATTCTTCATAATCGTCTGTTGGGACCTACAGTAACAAGGATTTCTTTATCAGTATTTTTATTAAGAATAAATAATACAAGCTGAAACTCACACGTTATATTACAAATATAGATATATGTCCTGAAATTTTTGCCAACATGTTTTTGAAAACAATTTTATTCGTAAAAACTTACTTTGAACAGGGAATACGGAAATAACCTTACATGCAGATACATAAAAAAATATGTATGGATTCATGATTTTCTAGTAAGTAACCAACATCTATGTGTATGTGTTTAGTCAAAGGGAATTTTGTTCTATTTACAGCTCATTTCTAATACATTATTTCTTATCAGATGAGTCTGAAACTGTGCATGTATTAACTAGGCTAACTATATTTACTCTCACAGTTCTGCGTTTTGCGGGCATAAATCTTTGACCCTATATTTGTTATTTTTTTCCTCTCATTTCACTTTCCGTTTTCTTCCAAGGACTAACTTCATATGTATTTATTTTTGCTTTTTTTCTCATTGCAAAAATTATGGCTTTTTCTTTAATATCAGTTCAGATGATTTTTTCTTTCCTTTCTATTTCATTCATTAGGAAATATTTTAATATTTACGTATTTTATTTCCAATAAGTTTTATCGACATTCTTTGGTAAATTTGAATTCCATTTCTTTGATTCCCTTAAGTATAAGAAAATTACTTTCTTTTCCAACTATGCAATAGTTAGGCGCTAGACCCAAGATGAAAACAAGAAAAGTAATTTTTATTTAGGAGACTGGTAACACATTCTATTCAACCCAGATTTGACTTTAGTAAACAATAGTGAATTTTTTCCCCTTTTACTTATAAGTATTTTTTTCCATTTTATCAATTCAGCGTTACAATCTTTGACTACGACCAAATGTTAATCTTTATTTTACTTTTGTATCCCTTGTTCTCATATTTTCGGTAGAGATGCAAGTAAATTCGTATTTTTGCATGGATTTTATTATGCAAAATATGAAATTAGACATTTCATAACATAATTAGTATTGTATACACTATATGGAAAATACAATATTTATCTCTCCCTACCTATCTCAATGTCTCCTTATCTAACTATCTATATCTTGACCGCTCCATATGTAACTATCTATATCTCGACATCTCCTTATCTAACTATCTATATCATGACTTCCTCGCTTTCTCCAGAACTCTAATATATATATATATATATATATATAGAGAGAGAGAGGGGGAATTACTGGAAAGTAATTGAAACTCACCTGAAGTGAGCTGAATGTGTAATGCTCCTCATGCCAATGACACATCCACTGAGCTTCTCTACGGCATATGACTTCACTGAATTTTGATGTGTTCCTCTCAAACCTATTTATATATATATATATATATATATATATATATATATATATATATATATATATATATATATATATATATATATATATATATATATATATATATATATATATATATATATGATCCTTCCAGTAATATTAACTGTTAATTCCTAGTTTAATGGATAGCGGCTCGGAATGGCAAATCGGAGATCCGAGTTCGAATTCCTGTTGGGTCTATTACATTCTTTTCCGCGCTAAATACACTTGTGAAACGTATGAATCTACCTCTTCCTCCAAATTTCAGTTAAATAGTAAGATCTGTATGTTAGAAAAATGATTGTTACTAAAATAAAAGTGTTAATGCAATATTCACTTGAAGAAAATAATTATTCTTATGATGTTTCTGCTTTAAATAACCCGCGGTGGTTGATGAACTGTAAATATAAAATTAATATTTTTTCTGATGAATGTCGTGTGTAAAAGGACTAACGAATGTTTTGTGATGTCATCGAACCATCGTTACCATTTTGTAATGTCAACAAATACTAGCTGTCACTTTTGTAATGTTCGTTGTAGTAGAGACTTTGTAATCGCAGATACAACTATAGAAACGCCGTTGAACAATATTGGTGTCAGACGCCTTCGAATATCACTCGCACTAATAGTATTTGCTCGATAACACTACATCAAAAAGTGACCACCGAAAAGTAATCCATGTAGTCATCAATATAGAGAATAGTGAACTGTAGAGAGATAGAGGAGGAATATTGACCCGAATAGTAATCAGTGAAGGCTAGAATGGCGATAATATTTATCGTACATAAAGTACAAATGTGCCACAAGGTCAAAAAGGGGAATTGGGAAAAGGACAGTCTTCTTCCGTCTTAACGTTAAACTTCGCTAGCACAAACACTGACCCAAACATACAAACAATAATCTTTACACCAAAACAACGCGTTCTTATATAATGCCTCAGAAAGTCTATGAAGTCCTAACTAGTCGCCATATATACAATTCATTGTCCGTGGAAAGAGGGGTACGAAATAACAATTAGACTAGAATGACGATGGTATTTACCCGACTCCCACAGGGTCAGGATGTGACACAAGGTCGGTTTTACGTGGGAGACCCGAGTGTTTCCACTCAAAGGGTCAAAAGGTGCAAAACTGGTCTTAGCATGTCCAAGCTGGTCAGAGCCTAGTCAACGCTGGTCATGGCTTGTCTTAGCTAGTCCGGACCGAAGCCAGTCCAAACTAGTCGTAGCCGTGATCGAATCTCAGCCAAAGGCCGAGAAACGATCCATATTTTTGTCAAAACTGAGCGAAATCCGCCAAAGCGGAAGTCGCCGACAGACAAGAATGATGATCAATCTAGACGTCACGCGACTTCCTATATATGTGTTTCCTCTATGGTTACGTGGTCCACTTAATTCAGTAACGGAATCGCCTGTGTTTGCTAACTGGCGATCTATGTTCAAACTCTCCGCAGCGACACTAATGCGAATCCACTAAAATTATTTCCCCACCATTTTTTTCTATTTTTTACGAATGGATAGTTAACCTCAGTAATGACACATACACTGGCCGAAAAGGATTGATTAAATATTGTAGTGAAATAAAAAGTATTGTTAGATATGAAATTCTGTGACTCGTCTTATTCGATTTCCTTAGAGCACAAGCAAAAGCCAATTTATTTCACGCCGGTCTTTAAAGCTACCAAGTCCTTTACATGTGAATGATTAGCACAAAACAAACGCTTCTATTAAAAAGAGAAGACGTTGTCCTCTTTAGCCTTACACAAACCTGGCCACCTTGAAAATTAATAATGGAAACTTTGATTTCTTGTTTTTGGTTAAAACATAGGCTGAAAGTACTGACGCCAAGCACTTTACTCGTTAGGACATTACGAATAAATATAGAAGGATATATTAAAAAAAAAAAAGAAAAAGAAAAAAAGACAATTGTCATTTTCGTCATAGCATACTCGTCAAAACATTAAGCAGAACTTGTTCATTCGCACAGAAAAAGCGCACTTTACGTTTTAAAACATTCATAAGTTCTGTTTTTGAGAATGCAACTATTTTTCATTTCGTTTGCAACAGACTCCTTTCTGCCCCCTTCCTCTCACTATGTTGCCCGTGGAGTCAAGAGGTTTACGCCGTACTGGGCCCACGGCTATCAATCAATTAGACTTTTATGATCTTCGGAAAACCATTCAAGAGAAATATAAAAGAAAACAAAAAAGTTGAGGAAAATGACGCAGAATATTTCAGCACCAATTAGGTTTTAGCAAGAGTCATCCATGAAAGCGCTTTAATATGAAAAGAGGTACATATTAATGTTTTACAATTCTTTTCTTTGCCAACACAGTTGATTTAGCAAATAACTAGGAGCATTACATAATCTGAAAAAAAATATCTTTCTTTATAAAATAAATATGAAAGGCAATAGTGCTGCTACTTTTATTTTGTAGAACAGATATTAACATTTAAAAAAAAATTGACTGCAATTAAAAGAGAAAAGCTGTAAAATATACTTTTTTCTAAGTTTGGCATTCCCAACCCAAATGTTCACAACCTTGATCATGGATGTTACTTGCTTTTTTATAGTTTTTGTTTTATTTGATTAATGGCATATCAACTCCTTATGGGTCATTTAATGCCAAAATTTAATTTTCTTGGGAGCTTTGGTATTTTTTTTTTTTTACTATAAAAAATATATTGGTAATTTTTTTTCTAATGCCAATTTTTTTTTTTAAGTGTTTTTTGTTACAGCACGGGATAATAAAGTCAATATTATTAACGCGAGAATGAAGCACAGTGGACAAGCCGACATCTACCAATGATGCAATGTTTCTTTCAGATGGCTGCATATTCATTAAAGACTCTTGGAAATAAACATTGGTTCGCATAGCTACTCTGTCTAGGTAACTCGATATGCAACAAAGATCGAAGTACTATGTACATATTTTGATACCTTCCTTTTTTGATTAAAACTATCTACTCTTTGTGCCACAGTAGCCCGTCTTTTGGCTCATATTTGACGAGAAAACTTCTGTTCATTTCTTATATTACGAGACGTCGTGACCACTCAGGCATTTCTTGGTAGTGACGATTTCTCTCTCTCTCTCTCTCTCTCTCTCTCTCTCTCTCTCTCTCTCTCTCTCTCTCAGCCTACCGCTGATAGGTAATGACAACACTTAATGTATATAGCCCGCAACCAATGCTGTTTCACAGATGCTCTGTTCAAGGCTTCTGTCTTAAAATAATTCGAATATTTCTTATCTGTAACGGAATTTTACACATCAAAAAGAAATCGAAGCTGATTCACCTTCACATATACCTCTGACTATGACATGCGTATTTGTTATGAAATAGTAGCTGCCATTCTTTCCATATAACGCTGGTCCTTTTGTTTTAACTCAGCAGTATATCTTCCTTAAGCGGTAATTGGTATTAAACCCAAAACACTCTTGCAGGTATATGGATTATACTGGCCTCTGTCAAAGTTATCAGTAGTTGCAACACTTTCTTAGCTATTAAGAATGGATGGATTTCATGGTAGATTGATTTATACTTAATTTCTCTCTCATGTTTCTGTTTCATTTTCTGTTATGAGACATCTCAAAGTTAAGATATTTCTATCATATATGGCAGTTAATATCACAGGTTCTGATATTTACATTTATCTTGTGATATACACATGAAAGTTGGGCACCAAGAGGCGGTGTAATCTTGTCTCGCTAGAACAATTACTACTGATTAGCGAGTTCGATCCTTACTGGGTGCTCCCTACTTTCGGCCTTGTGCCCCATCTAAGCTAAGCTTGGAAAATCGCCATATACATGAAAGTATTGTGCCGCGATAGGATTAGCCTCACTTCCAGACTGCCAAAGAGTTGAACTGAGATAACCTTTCAGCCGGGGATGGATATCTGCGATTAACTTATTGTCAGTGTCGACCTGGATAGGTGAATACCTGTAGACCTTAGGACACCTGGTATGTGAATGCTTCAGAAAAATATAGTTGGACAGATATAAAGAATTGCCTCGTAGGAGGAATTGGGCAGTCTCTCACACGTCGTAGACAGACTGTAAGGTCCACGAATCAGACACGGTGTGACGGGGCTCGCACCACAGTCTGGAAGAAACTAACTGACGAAATATTGGAGAAAATGAACTTGTTTTCTCATTTTGCTGGTACACCTACTTAATGAAAACGTATTTAAAAGTAATCCACGACGACAGAATTTTCCAAAATAAATGAATATTTTTACATTTGCTAAAAAACTTAATAAATAAAAATTGAAATATATTTATATGTTTTTTTTTTCTTTCTGCGAGATGCGATAAAATAAAAAAATAAAATATTTCTCTTTCGTCATTGAGAAGGATGACGGTGGCAATATTGAGATAATTGTTGTAAGGACAACGTTAATACTTTGGGCGCTGATAAGAGAACGCATTCTCATGATATTGACAGATGACTGTCCCGTGTTGTTGGTGGACACATCTTTTACAAATCAGAAGAAAAGAAAAATATTAATGAAAGTGTGAAAAAAAAACAAAAAAAAAAGTGATCGTGCATGAAAGAGAAGAGTGGAAAAAAAAATTGAAAATGAAGGAACAACTTCGGAATGGGTGAAAAAGTAGTAAGGGGGAGGTAGAAGGAAAACAGAGGGTTGATTGTAGGAGACATGCGTAAGCCGAGTGGGGCAGAGAGAAGTCGAGAGGGTTTTAAAAGATCTTAGAGAAATAAATAAGCTTTCTATGTTATTGCTTTTCTGTAAATGTAGACTGTAACGCAAAAACATACGTTTTTATACTAAAAAAAAAAAAAAGAATGTAGACCCATTCCTTCAAAAATGGAAGGAACAAACAATTATTTAAAATATCTTAACCCCTGGCCATCAGCACTTTCCTTTATCCACCGAGACAAATCCGCAAGTGTCCGAGTGTGTTTGCGTGCGGTTTGAGCTGATTTTGCGGTCGGACAAAATTATATAAATTTTGTTTCTTTTTTCGATTTTTCGCGCCTACTCTTGGCCTCATGAAAATAAATAATATTATCGAGATGGAAAATAAAATAAAACAAATCAAGCTTATGGTGCCGGTAAGGTAAAAAGTTTTGTTTTTTTTTTGGAGTAGAAGTGAATGCTTAAAGAAAGGCATATGTTTCGAATAGACGCTAACAAATATATAGCAAAAACCACAGCGAGTAAAGAAAAGCAGAGAAATATTAGACAAAGGAGGATTTGTATGAATGTTTAAGAAATAGCAGTTCGGAAAAATATGGAAGACGATGAAAGAAATGGAGAAACTGGCAGAAGAGATTTCGATTAGAAAAAAAAGTGTGTGTTCGAAATCAAAATAGATTGATAAAAAGGTGAGCTAAGTTTAAAAAGGAAAAACCAAACTGGTTATTTTGAAAGTTAACTACGTACGATATTAGATCCATCATCAGAGCTGTTTCGACTTGAAAGGACATTGTAAATCTGTGTGGAATTTCATCTTCAGCATCGTGGTTCATTTGCGTTTCTTCAACACGAAGTAAAAAAAGTCGAGCCATTTCATAACAGCTTTTAAAACCATGAATGTATGCATCATATTTTTATGACGACTTGTGGTATATACTAAAACTGTAATAAACGAACCTTAGATATTACACTAAATACAGAAAACTGAAGAAATAATTGTTCAAAATAACTTTTCTCTTACTTAAGTCCAGACACCGACCTTTTTCTCCTATCTGATACCCCCCCTGCAAGACAGTAAAGCCACTAAGACACAAGATATTACAGGGTGTGGAAGAATTAGGAACAGAAACATTAATAATGTGCAAAAAGAGAAAAGAATAATCAAGGCAGTAGATAGCTATTGACATTGCATATAAATATTTTGCATATTAAAGTTGGCTGGAAAATATGGAGCTGGTAGGGAGTTCTACAAGCGAGAAAAGGAACTGTAAGCATATAACTTACGGCTACATCTAAGCAGCTCAACTGTAAATTGATAAAATCTTACTCCAGTCTAGTACTGCGTTTAAATTCAAAAAGTCTAGGTACCATAGCCAATAGCTCATCTGAATAATTGCAATGAGAATATTTTTAGAAAACCCACAGAGAGGCAACTTTATGACGGTGGGAAAGTCACTGATGCCGAGCAGCCAGATCAGGAGCTATAATATTAATGATTCTTCTTTGGATTTTATCAAGGAGCTCAAGTTAAACAGCAGGAGCACCGGAGCAAATGTGGCAGCAATAATCTAAGCAAGGACGTATGGTAGACTTATAGATATGTAAGATAGATTCTGAATAGAAAAATGTCTCGCACGACACAGTGAACCGACTTTCTTAGCAGAGGTGACTTAGTAATGGAGTTAATAGTCTTTCCACTTCATGTAAGCTGAGAACTTTATCCCTAGACTGCACAACGAGTCACTTGTGTTAAATAATAATCTTGAACAAAATACAATGATTTAAACAGACGAATAGAATTGCTTCGGTTATGTTAAAAAGGAGTGAATATTTATTTGACTACTATCACCTGTGGTTCGTATTCGAGACGAAAAGAAAACAGAATTTCAAATGCGGATTTCCAAGGCAACTATCACGCCAGTGTCGCTCTACACAACAGATTCGTCAAACAATAAATTACCTGGTAGACTACCTATAGAGCCTTGGGTCACAGCCGCCCCCTCGCTAGTTGTTGCTCATGTGGTTTCTGTAGCAAGTAGGTCTTAACGGAGTAAAGCTGCTAGACCCCCAACCAGCCGGTTTTAAATTCAGTTCTAGAGTGGATGTCGACCAAACACACTGAACTTAATGTGAAAATTCTTTTCCTACCTCCCAAAATATTTCTTGGAAGAAAATTAACCTGTTAAAGCGAGAAGAGTTACCATCAATTTTAAGGGGACTGGATGTCAGGTCGTTCGTAACAGGGAAAGCAGGAATAGCCCAAGTTTCTATATACGAACTAGCGATGTCAAAATCAAACAATTACATAAATTTATATATACGTGAAGCATTAAAACGTGGAACAGAAAATGTGTCACAGAAATCCGAAGACATCTTGAAAAAGGAGCATATGCTTTTCAAAAGCTATAAAAAATATTATGAAACCTGGGGGTTTCATCAGAAATAAAGAAAAGACTGATGGACTGCTGTCTAATATCAATCCTCTTATATGGCAGCGAATGCTAGACAATTTCTTCACTGATGAAGAGGAGACTTGACAGAACAAAAATGTGTTTCTACAGGAGGGTATTGAGAAGTCCATGGACGGAACTTCAGAGCAACGAGGAAGTTTTAAGTAAAGAGAAGAAATGAACACTTGTACTCATCCGTAGAAAGAACCAGTGTTAATTTCTGGGAATTATGAAGAAAGAGGGTTTGGTGAATTGGACACTCACAGGACACAGTAAAGGGAAACGGAACAGTAGGGAAAAAACTAACGAGTTGTGTAAATGAATTCAATATATGGACTACGACGGATAGTAAGTTGAAAATTGTTTCGAGATAAAACTATGGTGTTGTGTAGAGCCATGAATACCCACGTCCTGAAAGGACACGATACATAAAAGATAAAGAATGTGTAATATGCGTGAATCTAACCCGTGAATAGTGTGAAAAGAAAAGGTTTCAGATACAATGGGTATTTTTTTTATTCTATTAGTGAATAGCACTAAATCGTATCGTGTCAATTTCTCTAGGTTATCAACAGAGTGAAGTTCATATATCAAAAAAAAAAAAAAAAATCCTGCCGGAGATATCCTAAGAACAGCTATTAAATTATTCAAAGAAACGCAATGTTAAGAATTTGAGTGAATCTATCAAAATAGCGTTCACAGTAAATTAAATCATCGAGAGTAAAATGAAACAAAAATTATGAAAAGGCGCAAATGAGAAAGAGGAAGGAAAATAAGAAAAGAGTGAATATATTTTTAAGTAACCATTTAGATGAAAATGAACAAGTATCAATTAAGAGTCAACAAAATGAGTGAAAAATATAAAGATACAAAGGAGACGAGTGAAAATGAAAATAAGAATCAAATAAAAGCGTTAGTAAAAGACAAGACATTAAAATGGTCTCAAAGAAAGAAACCAAAAAAAAAAAAAAAAAAAACTAAATAAATCCGAGAAATGAGTTGGGTCGGATATGGTGTCGGCTTGTCCAAGGAGTGTTGAGAGAGCGGTTGCAAGGTGCTGTGGAGAAAATGAAAACGTCTGAAGAGCGTAGTGATAGAATTGTTAGAGGGTTTTGGCGGGCGAAAAAGGAAGTGGCGGGAAGAGTTTCCGATGCTTCCGTCGCTGAGTTTTGGGGATTGCCCATAGACGTTTTGTTAAAAATTTGTATAAATGATCGTTTATTTATTTTCATTTATTTCTAGTTTATTTGATTTCGTTGATTGCTTTTAATTTTATTTTTTGGCGCTGAAGTAGTTTCATTTAAGGTTTTTTTTTGTTTTTTTTTTTGTTCTCTATTTAAAAATCTATTCTTTGGGATGGAAGCATTCGAAGGTCACTTTATTGATATCCGAGAATCTACTCGAATCTTTTTGTTCATTTTCTAATGCATTTATTGAAGAAACCCTGATTGTTTATAACTTTGGTTGTTGCTGTTTTTGTTTTTTGTTTTTGTTTTTTTTTCTGCTTGATATTCCTGGTTTTCAATTCCTTCTTTGTCTGTTTACCTTTGTTGTTTAACGTTTTTTTCTCTGGTTTCCATTTCTCTATTTTCTCTTTTCTTTTTTTTTTTTTTTTATTTACCTCTCATTTTCTGGGCATATTTGTTCCTTTACTTTTCCTTGCAAAATTCTTTACCCCTTTTTTTTTTTTTTCGTTTTTCTTAGTGCATTCCTTCTTTGATTTTTCAGGGTGCGTTACTTTTCCTCGGAGGTTTGTTTCCTTCCTCTTCTTTGTACAATTATTTGCTTTACTTTTCTTGGTGGATCATTTCGTTTTCTTGGAACATTTGCTCCTTTCCTTTTCTTAACGCGTCAGGTTTCTTTTCTTCCTCTTTCCCCTCCTCACTCTTTCCCCTCCTTCCTCTTTGCCCCCCTTCCCCTTCCCTCTCTTTCCTCTTTTCCCTCCTTCCCCTTCGTCCTCTTTCCTCTTCCCCCTTCTTCCTCTTTCCACTCCTTCCCCCTTCCCCTTTCCCCTTTAAATGGATTCCTCTTTCCCTCCTTCCCCTTCGCCCTCTTTCCTCTTCCCCTTCTTCCTCTTTCCCTCCTTCCTCTTTCCCCTACTTCCTCTTTCCCCTCTTTTTTCTTTCCCCTCCTTCCTCTTTCTCCTCTTTCCTCTTTCGCCTCCTTCTTCTTTCCCCTCCTTCCCTTTGCCCCTTCTTCCTTTTTTTCCCCTCCTTTGTCTTTCCCCTCCTTTCCTTTTCCCCTCTGTTTCCTCTTCCTTTTCCTCTTCCCCTCTCCTTTCCTCTTTCTCCTCTTTTCTCTTTCCCCTCCTTTCTCTTTCTCCTCCTTCTTCTTTCCCCTCCTTCTTCTTTCCCCTTCTTCCCTTTTCCCCTCCTTCCTCTTTCCCCTCATTCCTCTTTCCCCTCCTTCCCCTCTTTCCTCTTTCCCCTCATTCCTCTTTCCCCTTTCCCCTCTCATTTCTCTCTCTCCTTCTCTTATTGTCTCCCCCTATCTCACTCTACATATCTTACATTTTCTCCCTGTCTTCCGTTTTTATCACGCTCTCTTTCATTTTCATTCTCTTTGTCACTAATAACAGTCCGAATAGAAATAGTGTGAATGTGTTATTTTGAAAATAGTACTAGTAATTCTAGTATTAACATACACCTAGTGGTGTGGCTGTTTTTTTCCGAGCGTGTTAGTCAGAAAATGGACTACGGTTTATCAATCTTTTGCAGGTTATTTAAAGCCATAAATTTGTTTGTTTTTTTTTTAGATTGTAAGAATTGCTTTTTTATTTATTTTTTCTTCGATAATAATGATTTAGTGATACAAGTTTTACTAATTAACCCATAACTGAGGGGAAAAGAGACGGATTCATACCTTTTCCAAGAAGTCTTTGACCCTGGCTTGACGTTGCTTAACTTCGATGATATGGCTTGCACCGTTGTTTCAACGCTATAGCGATTTTCCAAGCGCAGGACAAGGCCGAACGTATGGTGCACCTAGTGAGGATCGAACTCACTTCTTAATTGTTCTAGTGAGACAAGCTCGCTAATCATTACACCGCCTCGAGGTGCCCATATTTCAACGCTTACTCTTCTGGCTCGAACATTTGGCACGGATGCCTGTGCTAAATTCGCAACTATCTAACCCAACTGAAAAGTCTCAAATCGTATTTGCAGGAATCTACTTACGTTCCTTCATATTATCACCCGTCTTTGAGTAAATATATATTTTAGTTTTATTTTCTTATGGTACATACACTATTTTCCATTATTCTGACTATTTTCCTCATCTTTGTTGCCATATTTATCACAACGTTTCGGCCGTTGTACGTTCCGGCCTTCTTCAGGTGGTTAGAATATCGCTGTCTGGGGTAGACTAGTTCCACATGTCATGTCTAATGGATATCAGTTATCTCCTGTTAATTCACTTCTCCAAGTTATCCACTGCCTTAACCAAGTATTGAACTCAGAACTCTTTGGGCCCTGTCACTGGATCTAACAAACGCCTTTATCCACTGTGCCGTGTGTGCTTAAGGAGAGATACTGACACATGAAGAGATGGGAAAAATGGAAGTGGAGAAAACTCGTTTTGCGCCAATGTTTTAATTTGGGGAGTGATCTGATTACTTAGAAAAAAGTAGCAGTCGAAATGCTAGCTTATTTTGTTTCACCTGACCGAGAACACTGATTTCTGACATTAGTATTGAATACGTAACAACTAACTAGACAAAGAGGTGCTGAAAAGTGAAGATGGGAAATGAGATTGTACCGATAGGTACGGTAGAACGTGTTGCCTTGAAAATCGGTGTTCGGAATGCTGGTTCTATAATTGTGATCTAACACTGATCAATGGCATTCACGAAAGACATGTTACTAGATTTAGCTAAGAAACTCTTTAAACTACCATATTCTAAATATAAACGTAACGGTCCAAACGCTTCAATCCACAAATCCGGAATTCACTGGCCTAATAGATTAACACTCCGTCTTGTAAATTTGGTGACATAGTGATCGTGAGTTCAATACTTAGGTCGGGCAGTGTATACCTGTACTTATTGGAGACGGGAGTGCAATAACTGAACAGTTCTAAATAAAAAAAAAATATGAACTAAATATCACTAGACGTGCGGAACGAGGAGAGTCTACCCCCGTAGATTAAATAAAGGGTTAAGTTCAGTATTTCCCTGTATTTTAACCAGATCGATATTCACCTGAGGAAGGCCGGATGGCGCAACGGTCGAAAGGTTGTGATAACAACAACAAAGATGTGGATGATAGTCCGAATATAGTGTAAATAATGATGTCATTGGTACTGACCTGTTTTCCCGGCTTTCTCACCGCCGTAAAGTACCTTCATGTTAATAGATGGCCACTCATATTCAAGGAAACACATCCTTATTGCAGAGCCAAATTGTGGTTTATGCTGAAACTTTATACTGCGTAGAGCTGAGCATAACTTAGTTTCATTTTCTGTGAGTGTATGTTATCTAGCAATTTGAACAAGACCAGTACTTTCAAGCCCTCGGCTACGATGACTTGTGGCTTTGTGCTAGCACAGCTAGCAAGAGTTCCGTCTACCCAAATTTCACTCACAAGGCGTGGTATGGTTTTCAGTCATTTTCCAAAGGTGCCCCACGATCCATTCCGATAAATCGACCAGGATGATATTCGAACGCGGGTCTCATGGTCAGAAAGCGTACGCTCTAACCACTAGGCCACACGACCAGGCCTTATGAATTTAAGCACAGTACTAGATTGACGACAAGGTCTCATCATTTTACAGTTTAAATGTTTAGATTTAACCCTAAGTTCTCTATTCTAACAGTTTGTTCTATTGACTTCTCGCTTGTGGAACTCTCTTCCGGTTTATTTCTTCCCAGTCAACTTTGACCTCAAAAATTTAAATGAAACCGTTATCTTCTGTTTTCTTGTTCTTTTGTTGTTATTTGTCATCAATAGTATTCTCCTCATAGTCTCTAACACTCAGTAACCCCTTGCGTCTTAATGGCAGTATTGCCTTGCTTGGAATGAAACGATTTTTTTAATTCTTTAGAGAAAACCCCGTTTGTTCTTTATTAAAAAGAAATCTTTTTATACGAAGAAAGTCTGTTTTCTTACGCGTATCTGCTAGGTTCAGATATGTGAAAAAATCAGGGATCGATTTTACACTGTATCGATATTATGAACAGGCTTCACTTATTTTAAAATATTAAAAATCAATATTTTTTTAATTTTGACAAATGCTGTACCTTCAGGAAGATCTCATGAATGCATATCTAGAAAAATGATATCTGAACATACTTCTGATTATTTTTTACGGCTACTTAATTGTGTTATACTGGGTTTAACAGCAAAATTGTATAAATCGTGTAACAGCATGATATAATTGTCAAAATGTTTAGAATCTAAAAAAAAAAAAGAAAAAAGACAAGGCTAATTGAGTTTCATTTTCCATGTTTTCATTTAAGACATTTAGCCATCTTGATACCATTTATCGTAAGAATCACTTAAAAAAATCTTTAAGTTATTCAAATAGGTTAAAATCACTTTGTGTCATTACAACTATGTCTTCTCAACTGAGCAATGGTGAGAGGAAAAATCATTCAGGCCTTCAGTAATGATACCAACATTCATACTCTGGCTTCCATCATTAAAGTACATTCAAGAACCATCAAGAGAACGATGAATAAATTTAAAAACTAGGGAAATCTGGATCAGGTAGAGCAAGAGGGCTTACAGCTAAATGCATTCTTATTGCTCAAAGTAAAGTCCAATAGTAAATACCAGTAAAATATTTTTAACCATTTCTAAGATACAACTGTGCAAGCTTAATCTAAAAATTGGTCAATTTTGCTGTCACACCATAAGACACAGAGAAAAAAATGGAGAGTTCTGAGCTGCTATATAATATCTAATCTCCTATACGGTTGAGAATTTCCTCATAGACTAATAAGATACTTATATCGACAGATATGCAGTTTAGTCATGAATGTTAGTACAAATGAATCGAATATAGGGGCAACGAAGACATTTTAAGAAAATACAAACCAGAATGAAATATATACAGTTCGAAAAAATTGAATTTTCAGATTCAGATATTAAGGAATGGAGGTCTGGAGAATGTAACACTCACAGGACGTACGGAATGAAAGAAGCGCGGAAATAGTAAGTTATTTAATGAACATAAGTGAATGAAAAAGATAAAGAATGATGGTAAAGAGTCGCCTAAGATAGGAAATAGTGGAGGGCCATGATCATCAGAGAAAGAGACAAAAGAAGATGACTCTTTTTTTAGTCTTTCTTTTGAATCTTTTTTTCGTTGACTTTTACGATTTAATGTTTTTTTTTATAATTATTTTTCTGTTATCAGCTTCATTTTTTTTGTATCTCTTTAATTAATTTGTTTGAATGTGTTCTCTATGTAACTCATACGCTTATTTTATTTATTTTTTTTCCATTCTTACTTCGTTATGCATTTTTCTTTCCATATCCCTTCGCAAATATTTCCACCCCATTTTTTTTTTTTTTTTTTTTTGCTCTTTTCACTCTATTAATTATTCTTCGACGAATATCTTGGATTTAGTTCTTTTCTTGTCTTTCTTTTGATTCCTCTTTTTTCGTTCTTTTTCTTCTTCGTCTCCCGCGTTCATTTTCTTAGCATTCCTTCTCCTTACTCTCATCCCTTAAAAATTCTTTTGTCATTTCACTGCCATCTTCATCCTTTCTTGCTTTCTTTTTTTCTTTCTTTTTTTTTCCTCCACCTTTTCCTTCTCCTTCATAACGAAACCATTAATGAGGAGTGGTTTTTGCCCCAGGCCCGTTCATTAAGATGGATACAGCTCATCAAGACAGGAGCAAATATCAAATGTTTTGTGTTGACGTATATGCTCATGCATCGGGTAGGTGGAGGTGAGTAGAAGCAGAGGAAGTGGACACGAACATCATCCGGTAACTTTGGTAGCAGGAACCTCAAATTCTATAGACTTTTCTTTTTTTTTTCTTTTTTACTTTTACTTTTTTTTTGTCTTATATTTTCGTCTGCTCCAGAGATAAGGTTGACACAAAACATAACATATAAAAGTGAATTCGTCTTAATTTTCCCCTCTTTCTCATTTTTTTCAATTTCTTTCTGAATACGTATTTATTATTTTTTTTTATGGGGATTTTCGTTTTTATATATATTTTTAAATTTTTTGTTAGCTTGGTTTCATGCTCTTTGCTTTGTTCGATGAAGGATAATTGTGTGTGTGTATGCGGTCGACGACGACGACGACATATCTTTTGGTTCCTGATACTCAGATTTATGCCAATGCGTATTTTGTCGTCATCTATGTGATTTCTGTAGATGTGAAAATGTCTTTTTCTGCATGCGCAATCTGCACACATACAAGATATATAATGACAAATTATTCCAGATATACATATGAAAAGCTTTAGACAACAAACACACATACAGACACGAAATATATATATATATATATATATATATATATATATATATATATATATATATATATATAAGACCTACATACACATATATATATATATATATATATATATATATATATATATAAGGCCTACATACATACATGTACACACACATATATATGACCTACATACATACATATATACATACAAGACCTACATACATATATATATATATATATATATATGACCTACATACATACAAGGAAAAAAAATATATATACAGATAAGACGTACATATATACATACATACATATAAGACCAACATACATGTATACATATAAGACCTACATACATAAAAGTATACATATATTTATATGCATATACCTGAACATAAAGCATACATATATATGCCTAAATGTTACACACATACCTACCTGAATATAAGACGTGTATATATAAATATATGACACGCACACATATATACACACACACACACAGAATATGACATGTGTGTATATATATATATATATATATATATATATATATATATATATATATATATATATATATACAAAACACTCGAATATAAGACATATATATATATATTTTGTGCGTGAGTATTTTTTTTTCTTTGACTGCACAGTCAGTTGGGCACCGTCTCTGAGAAAAAGAGCCCCTTGATGCAATTTGGAATTGGAATTGGAAATGGCATGCTGTACTACTTCGGCATTGGCGCCGGAAACTACAATACGAACATTTTTGAGTGTTTGGGTGTAAATCTGTTGGCAGTATAGAGGTTTCAAGAAGAGTTGGATGAGCTTAATGCTGCTAACGAAGGTACGGCAGCTCGGAAATCTCACTCTGATCGTTCTGATAAAAGAAAAAACAAACTCCTGAATATGTTAGTGAAGACGTCAGACTCAACACGAAGGCCTACGTCAAGTGCCTTTAGAAGTTAGTGCTGGCCTGGGTCAAGAGGGTGGCTGTTAGAAGACTGTTTGGCAACAGGATTCTGCATCATTCCATACAAACAAGAGAACACACAATTTCAGCGACCACATCAGGCCTAAAACCTGACCACATAATTCCTCAGACTGCAACCCCCTTGATGATTATGCGTGGAGAACAGTTGAGCGAGAAACTAACACAACTCTTTGTGACACCAAGGATGAACTGAAGGCAAGGATTATAGTAGCATTCACTAAATTAAACAAGGAACCGTTGAGGAAAATTGCAGGTTGAAGCCAATGGTGATTTTATCAAATAAATTTACTTGTATTTCAAGATATTTTTGTGTAATTTGGATAAACATATATGTTAAAATGAGATGTCAATATTATTTTCATTTTGCGTAATTTAAACGACAATTTACACCTCGCACTATATATATATATATGCATGTATATATATACATATATATATATATATATATATATATATATATACACTCATGTGCGCGCACACACACACACTGAGTGTAGATAATTAAGTACATTACAAAGCTTATATATATTCTTTTTATACGTTATTTTTATAGATACAAATATTTAAGTAAATGCTCTGTTTATAATTAACAGTGTTTACTACATTTATTTTCGTCTATCTCTATCTCTGTTTCTACAGCTTCTTTTCGTCTGTCTCTACCTCTGTTTCTACAGCTTCTTTTCGTCTGTCTCTACCTCTGTTTCTACAGCTTCTTTTCGTCTGTCTCTACGTCTGTTTCTACAGCTTCTTTTCGCCTGCCTATACCTCTGTTTCTACAGCTTCTTTTCGCCTGTCTATACCTCTGTTTCTACAGCTTCTTTTCGACTGTCTATACCACTGTTTCTACAGCTTCTTTTCGTCTGTCTCTACCTCGGTTTCTACAGCTTTTTTTCGTCTATCTATACCTCTGTTTCTACAGCTTCTTTTCGTCTGTCTCTACCTTTGTTTCTACAGCTTCTTTTTGCCTGTCTATACCTCTGTTTCTACAGCTTCTTTTCGCCTGCCTATACCTCTGTTTCTACAGCTTCTTTTCGTCTGTCTCTACCTCGGTTTCTACAGCTTCTTTTCGTCTGTCTCTACCTTTGTTTCTACAGCTTCTTTTTGCCTGTCTATACCTCTGTTTCTACAGCTTCTTTTCGTCTGTCTCTACCTCGGTTTCTACAACTTCTTTTACGTCTGTCTGTACCTAGGTTCCTACAGCTTCTTTTCGTCTGTCTCTACCTCTGTTTCTACAGCTTCTTTACGCTTGTCTATACCTCTGTTTCTACAGCTTCTTTACGTCTGTTTCTACCTCGCTTTCTACAGTTTCTTTTCGTCTGTCTCTCCCTCTGTTTCTATGGCTTATTGCCATTGATCTATACATATGTTTCTTCATTTTCTCGTCGTTTGTCCTCGTGTGTGTTTTGTCAGTTTCTGTTGTTCTCTCTTCACCTGTATTTCCCAATTTTTTCTCTCGGAATTATTCTCGTTTTTTCTCGACTTCTATCTATCTGTACCTCGGTTTTTACAATTTGATTTTATCTGTCGCTACCTCTGTTCATCCGGCTACTTTTTATATGTCCCTATCGCTTTTTTTTAATACTTCTCTATATTGGGTTTATCTAGTTTCTCCTTTTCTATATATTACTCAGTTCCTTCAGTTTAGCTCTGTCTTCTCTTGTCTTTCTTCCTTCACCTTCTCCCTCTATCCTATTTGTCTGTCTTCTCTCCCTTTGTTTCTTTCTCTGTTTTACCTGCCTTCATTTTATTTGTCTCCGCCTTTCTTCCTCCAATATGTCCCTACCTCATTTTGTTGTCTCCATTTCCTCCATCCTGTCTTCCTTTTTCGCCGTCTATCCTCCATTCTTACTTAAACGCTCACAAAGTTCATATGTTCCTTGGTCTCGTTAAAATTTGATCCCAGTGCTGCCACAAGGGAAATAACCCGACCCTGGATCCCAATTAGTATCCCACTCAAGTATTTGTGGTCTGTGGTGAATGAGAGAAAGGCTGAAGACGAAGTAATGACTCAAGCAGCGTTAGGTTCTCAGTAGTGTGCTGTGAGGCTGAAGTCTTCTGTGTACTTGCCCATACTCAAAAACCGACGACCGTCATCATCACGCCGTCTTTCGACAAAAATATAAGAGTTTACCCTCTTCCTTGCACACATTTTGCCATCATTTCTATTATACCTTTGAGAATAAATATATTGGCACACACCTACACATTAGTTTCTCTATGGGTATGAGAGTATGAGAGATAAGAAAATGCTCTACTTATCGTTGTATCATTCTCTGTCTCAGTCAGTTATGTGCCATGCGTGATGCGCGCTTTCGATACATGGCAGACGAGGCAGATTTTTTTTCCGGCTGTAGGTTGCCATTTCTTTCTACAGTAGAACAGTTGCCATCCAAGGCTATAGAGCCCGATCTGTTTTGCTATATACCCATACCTTTGTATTGCCGTTTAGTTAGTATTATTTGTATCTTGTATAGATGTTTCATATTTTTAATTTTATCCGCAGGTTACTTTTAAGAATCTTCCTGAAAATAAATTTAAAAAAATAAATTCTGTTGAACATAATTTAACGCCTGATTATCCTACTTTTTTAACGTTTGTCTAATTGTATGATAAATACAAATATAAAATTGGTCACTTAGCTGATTAATGTTATATTCCTCACCTTGACTCCAGAGTTTCGCAGCCGAACCTTTTTTTTTTTTTTTTTTTTTTTGTCATCATTCGATCCACTTGCCAGGCCGTATCAGCAACTGAATGCCAATTTTCATTTTTTACACACACACACACACACACACACACACACACACACACACACACACACATATATATATATATATATATATATATATATATATATATATATATATATATATATGTGAAAATTTCTCTGATTTAACCAGTAGAGAAGACAATATTTATGAATAAAATGACAATAGGAAAACTGGTAATTGTAGACGCGTTTCGTCCAATGTGGACTTTATCAACACAGATATAATGACAAATATTCTCCACACGTGACAAATACAGACGTTATTTTTCAGTTAAAAATATGAAAATAGCGTTTCTCTACATTCCAATTGCTAGGTACATTCTGTTTTTGTTTTTATTAGTTACTTTGTTCAATTAATTTCATTTTCGTATTTTTGCGTTGATAAAGTCCACATTGGACGAAACGCGTCAGCAATTACCAGTTTTCCTATTGTCATTTTTATTCATATATATATATATATATATATATATATATATATATATATATATATATCAAATATGAGGTGCAGTTCAATTTATATTACAATGAATCATTCATACAAAAAGTAGATTAGTAAAGTTAATGGTATAAAATGGCGAAATCCCTTTGCAAACAAAAAGTGTATTGACGAACAATCACTCGATGAATGTTATGATCCTTGTTTGTTAAAATTTTTGTATGAATGATTATTTGTTATATATATATATTAAAAAATTCGGTATCAGTACCATTTCTAATAGCTATAATTTATAAGTAAATAACGGTCCACCCTTTAAGAGTAATTATCTTATTTTGTTTATTCTTCCTTCGTGGCTGAGTCGGGGTAAACATGTCGGATCTGACAGCGGTTTCTCCTGCCGAGGTCTGTATCCTGCCTGAGGGCGCATAGTTTTTGGCAACATTTAGATTTGTAGACGATAATAAATACACTGTTTAAAAATACAAAAGAAAGCATATACTCAAATATGAGTGTGCACTAAAGGTAACGTTCAAGTGATAAAATCTTTTTTTATATATATATAAAAAAAAAACATCTATTTTTATATCGATAGCAACAAAATATATTTTTATTTTTACTGATACAAGTTCTACTAATTAACCTATAGCTGCTGGAGAAAACGTGCATTCATACATTTCCCAAGAGAATTTTTACATCAGTAAGTAAGAAAACAAACTCGACTATAATTGGAACTCGGCTCTCCGATTTCCAACTCCGAACCGTTATCCATAACACCACCCGCATATAAACGCTTACAGTACCTGGTATTTCCAAGTACTCACCCGTTTACGTATTAACCAGGCTGGACGTTGTTTAACTTCGGTGATCGTACGAGAACCGGAATCTCGACGTGATATAGCCGTAACCATGATGTTTGTTTGTTCTATATGGAGAAGATAAACTCAAACCAGCTTGAGATGAATCTTCCTATCAACACCCAGTGAACGTTTTAATTATGTAAAATGTTTCTCATAAAATGTGAGAGAGAATCTAGTGGCATTCCACTATTGCCGATCGAACCAGAACTTTCACCGATCGTGATAAATGGATGTTCCCCCCAGGAAGTCCCTACATCATACTTATTATAAAACTCAGTTTTTTTTTTTTTTTTTTTTTTTTGTTTTGTGTGTGTGTATTTTATATATTGGATCGGATTTTCCTACATTTTTTCAAACCGATTTCAACAAAACTTCACAGGACTACGTAAAATTACCTTGCGGTGGTTCTGACAGCGCCAAAAATTGGAAAAACACAAAATGGTTTTGCACGAAATCAATTTGAAAACACGATTAGGAGGCATCGCGAGAATGAAAGGGGGACAACTCATATCGAGTTATACTTATTATAAAACCCAAGTTGTTTGTGTGTGTGTGTGTGTGTGTTCGTCTATATATGGGATCGGATTTCCTACATTTTTCAGCCGATTTTAACAAAACTTCACTTTATTTTTGGTAAGTAGTGTTTCTTATTGTCTTGCACACTTTTTTTTTTCTTTATTTTTACATTCAGAATGCTTTAAAAAATTCCATTTACAAGACAATTGTTTATAATAAAATTCTATTCAATCGATAGACTCATAACGATTGAAAACAATGTTTTTGTTTGAGTTTGGGTTTGACCAATTCCTAAAAAAACAAAACAAAACAAAAAAAAAACTAATTATACATGCGTGTCCGTCAACCTTAAACAATAATCTTTGTCAATTTTATTTTTCAGTCTTTATGATGGTCGATACTTGATCTATCTCTTACTGTTACATCCCCGGTCAACGCCGGGCTCTACTGCTACTCTCGATTATATTCATCCCATACCCCAAGTGGAACTCGTACATACGATCCATCCTTAAAATGCTTAGAAAATAGCCGGTTCTCTGTACTATTCCAGCACGTACCTGACTCTGGCTCCTATACTCTGCCTTTACAAGGGCCAGATCAGACCGAATATGGAGTACTGCTTCCATATCTAGACTGGGGCTGTCCAGTTTTCACTTTCCTCCTTTGATAGCGTCCTGGGTAAGACGATAAACTACATCCCCATCCTGAATAATAAGATAAACTACAACCAAAAGCAAGGCCTCTAATCCGGACGTTTTGAGGAGCATGGAACCACTTCTTAATTGCTGGTCTTCTCAGGTCCACCCTGACCCGCGGTGGTAGCCCCTGTTATGGTCCCAGCTATGGGTAAATAGTTGCACCACCCAAACTGAGGCCAAAACTTGTAAAAATAGGTTTTCATACCAGTAATACATTTTTGTAAAAAAATTATACCAGCAATAAATTTTCGAAGAAAAAAATATTACCAGCAATACATTTTTTTTTTTTAAAAAAATATTACCAACAATTCATTTTTGAAAAAAGAAATATTATCAACAATAAAGTCTCGTCGGCATTAAACCTATTGAGGTTGATATGCCGTAAACCTCTCTTGATAGTTCAAAAACGGCCCCGTGTCCTCGTAGATGACAAATTATTTTCCACCTAAACTTATCGCTAAAGTACCCAATGATTTTCTGAAAGTAGCTTCGATCTGACACAAGTCCGTAAATATGGAGTATCGAACTCACTTGTAATTAATCTAGCGAGACGAGCTTGCTAACCCTTAAACCCAGTCCAAGTGCACATATGAAAGTGCGCATATGAAAGGTTTGCTACCTGTCTTTTATTTATATTATAAAAAATGCAAATATAAGCGATATAAGCGATTAATTTGCATAATTTTTTCAAATATTTTAATAAATATTTCATGTTTTATTTTATTTTTTAAATTTGAATTAAAAATTATCATATGCAAGCAATGTTTATGCCAGTTTATTTTAATTGAACGTGCTTTTATACAAAGATTCTATATCTCCCTTGTTAAAATTAAGTCCTAAGTTAGAAAACCGACAGCGTGCATAATAATAAGCATAGTTGTCGTCTGCTATTTCCCATTGCTTAATATTAGACGAACGTAGAAAAAAAAATACCGAATTGTATAAATAAGCCAAAGCAATGTTTAATTACATATTCTTAAAACAGTACTGATGTATATAAACAAGTAAAAAATATTGTATCATTATTAATAATATAAAATTATTCAAATTTTTATTTCATAGTCTATGTAGCTAAGTTCAGAGTAGAAAATTGAAGTGGGGAAACCATAATTGCAAAAGAAAAGGTAGAAAATCGATGTCTTTGTGAAAATGCTATTTATACAGAAAGTTTAGCAACAAGAGAACTTTTATGACAATTTTTTGTTTTGGTTTTAGAACGTGTTATTGGCTAGTATCATAAAAATACGTCTAATTTTAAAACGAGTCGTATTGTATGATGAGATGATTTAGTAAAAGAACTAAACGCTAGTTAGTTTAAAACAAACTATCTAGGAAACGACATTTCACGGTATATTGAAAATGTACGTATACATCGAAAGCAGTTTTGCAAAGACGTATAACTACGTCAACAGCAGTGAATGTGTTAAATATCGAGTTCTCGAAGAGAAACATTCAGAAGACAAAGAAAGTAGGCGAAAAAGTCTAAATAGAAATTATAATAAGAGAGACAGACGAAATCACTATAGAGAGAGAAGAAAGAGTTTAACAAGCATAGCAAATGGAAACAAAGAGACAATGAAGAAGGGTGAAGTCCGGTTGACCGTCCAAAAGGAGCTGACCACTCAACTCAAATTGGCCAGTTTAAAACGGATGCGCCCAATTTGTATAGGACACCGGACCCCGGGACACTTGACCAAGGGCCTCTCTTGATACACTCGTGCTTCTTCCGGTGGGTCATTTTGACGGTTATTTGGGGATACTGTACGACGTCATCGAGGAGGCTTCAGGAGGGTAAGAACGGACACAAGAATCAAGGATAATGAGTGACCTCAACGAGGTGTAGTGGTGGCGAGATTTTGTTACGCTGTAGGGCGGGAAGGGAATCGTATTTTATTCCCTCTGCCAGACATTTGCGAATTACATCATGTATCTCTTTGAAAGTGCTTCGCACTGGACTGATATGGCGACTGCTTTGCACTGATTCCTTAATGTGTATTTATATTGGTATTATAAACACTAAACACGCACACATTCTCTTGCACACACACACACACACACACACACACACACATATATATATATATATATATATATATATATATATATATATATATATATATATATATTTATATTCTAAATATTATTTTGCTCTGTTCTTTATTTCTTTATTGTTTATTGGAAACATTGTCAATTCCGTTTCTTAAGCAGTTTTGACAATTACCCTTAGCCATGGCCAATTACTGTACACTTGGAATATTCAAATACGCGTTGTAGTTTCGTGGGTGGTGGCTGATTCACTCTGCATTTCATGTAACGAGGGACAGAGGTAGTCGCCACTCACGTGTATAGATACGTGTATAAATCGGACCTGAACTAATTTTAAGCGTCTAATGATCAGTTCTATCACCATGAAATATTTTGTTACGTATATGCTTGTCACGTTGTTAATAAGTTCCGAAAAAGATAATATTTACGCTATATAAAGTATATACTTGCGTATCATGCGACGTTTGAAGGCCTAATTTTGAAGTTAATTTGACTACAATAAATTGATATATAGTTTGGTCAACGGCGTACTCGGGGCCAGCAGTATATACCCTAATATTATATCTCGTATATGATCTTTAAAATTAGCCTCAAAATTAGGTCTTCAAAAGTCGCATGATACCCGACTATCTACGGCATATAGATATACCGTGTGTAACAACAAAATTGTCCAATTGTTAGATTGTAACTTCGAAATAATTAAAGATATCTTACTGGAATTTTCCGAAATTTTATAACACTATTGGACTCTTTGAGCAATAAAAATGAATAATTACTCTCTAAGCTTAACAGAACTTTCTAACTTTCTGTCCTGGAGCAACAAGGCGCCTCAGAAGTTTCATGTACGTTTTCATTTTCAAGTCTTTTTTCACTGCTCTGTCATAGCTGAAACTCTTCTCTCGCATTCCAAACATCTTATGAAATGAGTTGGATCTTTTTAGCTCTAAGTTGAAATGATGTTCTTTCTTCCTGTCGAGACCTCTTGATCCAGTTTTTCTTCCCAATTTTTTAAAAACTTATTCAACGTTCTCTTGCTGGTTCTTGAATGGACTTTCAAGATGGAAGCCAGAGTGTGAATGTTGATATCATTACTGAAGACTTGAATGATCTTTTTCCTCTCACCATTGCTCACTTGGGAAGACAGTAGTGATGTCACAAAACGATTTTAACCTGTTCTAGTCCTATCTGAATAACTCGAAGGGCTTTTCAGCGATTCTTACGAAAAATGGTACCAAGATTGATAAACCTCTTATCGGAAATCCTGGTAAAAAGAAAATCAATTAGGTTATGTTTTTTTTTATATTAAACATTTCGTGGGATGCATAATTATACTGTTACACGATTTGGACAATTTTGCTGTTACACTCTGTGTGTGTTTGCGCGCACATGTTTATGGATAATTGCTGTGGTTGTAACGTACAACGGAAATGTGATCGTTGTAAAATCTCTTTTTTCACCATTTTGCTGAATCAGTCTGGCAAGAGTCTTCGTGTTTTCAGGTTTTATTTTGCAATATGTGGTAATTGTATTAGATGCAATCTTTACGATTAAGAACTTCGAGTGAATTACTTGCATCAAATTTGTCGGAGAATTTGGAAAATTTTCGGCGGAACCCCTCGAAACGCTTCGTCCGTATTTTGGCGAATATTCTTTGGGTGGTCTGCAGAGTTTTGAACTGGGCACGCATTGCAAGTCCGCTCAAGCATTGTTTCACGATGATGGACGTTCAAGGCGGCCAATCAACACTGAGTGGCTAGCTATGCTATACTTACACTCTTCACTCTTGT